TTCAAACATCTTCTCTGTTAAAAATGCAGGGAACTTTACAGTAACAATATAGGTGGAAGAATTCCACCTGAGCTTGGAAACTTAACAAACTTGGTGAGCTTGGATCTTTATCTCAATAACTTAACTGGTCCAATCCCCGACACGTTGAGCCGGCTTCAGAGACTACGTTTCTTGTATGGGCTTCTCTTTATTTCATAGTTGTGCCATAATATATTTTCTTAAAGATTCCTTAGCTGCTTCCTAAGCCGGATTTCGTACATCCTGAATTAAGTGGCATGTGGGTTTCTCATTGTTGTAATGCATCAACTATTATATCTGATTATTGTAAGGTTTTCCATGGCCTGTTCTTCGGAACTTTTTGTGTACTTTTGATGAAAGTAAAGGATGAGAAAGGTGAAAGGAAAATATCCTTTTACGTTGCTATAATTAAGTACGAGTCACATTAGTGAAACTACATTTCGAGCTTAGTTATTTATTTTCTATCTTGAGTTATTATGCCAACTTTTTGTTGCAATAATCTCTTGTCAGTAAAATAGTGTTGTGTATTTACTGCATATGCATAGAAAGTGTCTCGTTGGCTTCAAATGATTTAGTATTCTGTAAAATAAGCATTCATGCATAGGAACTTCCTTTCGTCAGTAATTTTCTTACCAGACTTGTTTTCATCCTTCAAACACATAGGAGACTCAACAACAACAGTTTGACTGGAGAAATCCCTGTATCCCTGACTAATGTCATGACACTTCAAGTCCTGTAAGTAAACGGAAACTATGTATTTTTTCCTCTTTTTAGATGTGGGTTTTTTTTTAATTAATACTTTATTTTCCTGTTGGACTTCTATCAAACTGATTCACACACTTTCTTTCATAAAATTCAGTGATCTCTCAAATAACCATCTCACTGGAAGAATTCCAGTCAATGGGTCCTTTCAGCTTTTCACGCCTATAAGGTTTAGTGCACAACTTTGTATTTTTCGGTAGCCTAAACTTTTGTCATTTGCCTTGTATTGTTGTCTCCAGTTGACTTCCTTCTTTATATTTTCAGTTTTGCCAATAATAACTTGGAGCCTCTGCCTGCATCTCCACCTCCTCCATTACCACCGACATCTCCATCACCTTCTCAAGGTTTGTCAGTCATATCGGCCTTATCTATTTTTTCTTCCTTCTGCATTCTATAAGGAACCTAGAAAATGCATTTTCCTATGAAATTTAAAGGTTTATGAGGCGATTCTCTATGTGAATGGCATTTTAGGAATTCAGTAATTTACTCGAGTTTTTGATAATATAGCTGATGAATGAATTACGACAACTGCAGACAGTGCAACTGGAGCCATTGCGGGAGGAGTTGCAGCCGGTGCAGCCCTTCTATTTGCAGCCCCCGCCATAGCACTTGCCTGGTATAGAAGAAGAAAGCCACAAGATCATTTCTTTGATGTTCCCGGTTTGTAAATTTCACTATTATTATAATTTTTACTTAAATTTTGTATATTAATTTCATTTATTCCCTTCTAAATAGTTACTAGTACAATACCCGTGTACTATACATGTGTTTATAAAATAAGTAAACGTAGAACAAAAAATAAAAGAAAAAATGTTTATATATTTTGTTGAAGTTGGAAAAAATAAATAAGGAACAATATATAACAATTTATAATAAATAACAATTTATAATAAAGAACTAAGTGAATTAACAATGTTATTTTAAATTCTGAAAACTAATTTATATACATCATTAGTTTTATTTATAATATTTTTATTTAAAACACACAAGAGAATAATATGGACAAAGTACAAAAATTGGAAAAAGGTAACATGTACATTATAGAAATTATAGAAAGAAGATAATAAATAGACTATATGGAATAGTTTAAATATGTGTATATATGGTAATCCAAACCTAAGCTATTGGGTATAAAAGATTAGTAATTTTTATCTGAGCCATAATACAAACCATAATATTTTGACACATAAGATTATGAAGCGCGCGAAGCTGCCATTTAGGCTCAGCGCGTTCTGAAATTATATATAAGAGGGATATTCTTGAATGCAGCTGAGGAGGATCCGGAAGTCCACTTGGGCCAGCTCAAGAGATTCTCCTTACGTGAGCTCCAAGTGGCGACTGACAACTTCAGCAATCGTAACATTCTCGGGAGAGGTGGATTTGGGAAGGTTTATAAGGGCCGACTGGCAGACGGGACCCTTGTGGCAGTCAAGAGGCTCAAGGAGGAGCGAACTCAGGGTGGGGAGCTACAGTTCCAGACAGAGGTGGAGATGATAAGCATGGCCGTGCACCGGAATTTGCTTAGGTTGCGCGGCTTTTGCATGACTCCAACCGAGCGGCTGCTCGTTTATCCATATATGGCCAATGGGAGTGTCGCCTCATGCTTGAGAGGTAATTTTTAGGAGAGCCCATTTGTCTTCTTCTTCTTTTTTTTTTTCTCCTCTGTTCTGTTTACCATGTGCTTGCTGGATATTTTTCTTGTTTTTTTCTTGGTAATTAATTATTTTTTACAAAGATTTGCTTCACTAACTTTGAAAATTTGAAATTAAAAACTCCTTGTGAATTTGGTTTGCTTTGTATGTTTGGGCCCAAAATCACTGGATTTGCTGATGTCATTGAATTTTTCGCTACAGGTTTCTCATTCTTCATAAAATTAAACATTACACCCAAATTTCTTCCAACGGCTGTTTGCAATATTTAGAAGAGCTTGAGGGTGTAAATGTAATTTTTAAGACAAGAAGCTGCGGTTTATTTGTTATGTAGTGTGTTGTTAAACCTGAAGAACATAAATTGACTGGATTTGATGATGTCCAACGGCCAGTGCAAAATGTACAACAGGTATAATGGTGAAATTTGTAATCTTCAAAAGTAGCTGGATTTTTAATATATTGCAAAATGACCCCAAATTTTTCTCATTTAGCTATATATATTATAAAATTTTAAGGAGCGTGAATCTAGTATACGAGGTCGAGAAGCTGTGGGTTCTATTTCTGATGTTGTGTTTTCGAAAAAAGGCTGAAGAGTTTAATTTTAGTAGATTTGACGACATCCCAGTCAAAATGTACAATGAACAAAGTTAGATGGATTATTTTTTTTTTAAATAATTTGCAAATTGACCCCTTCTGCGCAGAACGGTCCGAAACACAGCCGCCGCTCGACTGGCCGGTGAGGAAAAGGATTGCGCTGGGGTCCGCTCGGGGGCTGGGGTACCTTCACGACCACTGTGACCCAAAAATCATCCACCGAGACGTGAAGGCGGCCAACATATTGCTGGACGAGGACTTTGAGGCGGTTGTGGGTGACTTTGGGCTGGCGAAGCTCATGGACTATAAGGACACGCACGTGACCACAGCCGTTCGGGGCACAATCGGCCACATTGCCCCCGAGTACCTCTCGACCGGTAAATCTTCAGAGAAGACGGATGTTTTTGGGTATGGGGTCATGCTTCTCGAGCTCATCACAGGGCAGAGGGCTTTCGACCTCGCACGCCTTGCGAATGATGATGATGTCATGTTGCTGGACTGGGTAAGCATTTCTGTTTTTCAGCAGCCGAGTTTTTGTCTAATTTACTGGAGGACCAAATTATGCTACAAAATCACAAAAAAAAAAAAAGAGAAAAGAATCCTTCTTCAAGTTCCTTTTATGTATTATGAGTATGCCCTGAGATGAGATGCAACTTCCTTGACATTGAAACAGGTTTTAGGGGGGATCATTTCTGTATTTTTAAGAATGAAAGGTTTGTGGGGTTGATTGTAGTTAACCATTTTTTGAATATTGTCAACTCGAGCCGAAAGTTTTAGGATAAATACGAAACACCCCTGAGAATTTCGGAATTCACAAGCCAACTCGTAAAAATTCTCCATTGCATTCATAAAATATCACAATTACCTCATAAATGCAAATTTAAACTTCAAAAGGTTCTCTTGTGTGACTTTGAAAATCTATGGTTTTTTCTTGGAATCATCCCATTACCTTTTTTCATATCAGCCATCAGGCCTGCGATTTTTGAGGCAATCGGAAAATAAAGAACTGGGTTTTCAACTTATTTCAGGTAAAGGGACTTCTGAAGGATAAGAAGCTGGAGATGCTAGTGGATGCGGATCTTAAGGGCAACTACATAGACGAGGAAGTGGAGCAGCTGATCCAAGTAGCCCTACTCTGCACACAAGGCAATCCAACCGAGCGGCCCAAAATGTCGGAGGTTGTGCGCATGCTCGAAGGGGATGGGCTGGCCGAGAGGTGGGACGAGTGGCAGAGAGAGGAGGTTTTCCGCCAGGAGTTCAACAACCCGCATCAGCCCAACACCGACTGGATTATTGCCGATTCCACTTATAACATCAGGCCCGACGAGCTGTCCGGGCCCAGATGATTTTAATTTAATTTTTTTTTTTTTTCGATCCTTCGGTTTCATGGTTATGATCAGTGCATACCTGAGACTGATTGGGGGAAGTTTGTTCTGTATTTCTATGTATATGATTTTCTTGCATTTCCTTTTTTTGTTTTGTTTTTCTGTTGTTGTTCCTGTTATAG